AAAATCCGAATATCAAGCTAATATACATAAAAAGATAAAGGGAAAAAGATGAGTTACATGGCGAATGTCGGATAAGGAGCCCTTTCCGAGTGAAGCCGATGTGCCAGTGAAATCAAGTACATCATCAATTAGCTGATAAGCTAATCCCTGCAAAAATGTGTAACGATAGAACTTAACTCAATATGAATCTAAAAAATCATCCAATGCAAAAAACATATTACTAATCAGGATTTAAAGCGTGGACCAGGGAAAAAAAAAAACAAAGTATCAACCAGATTTTTGCCGTAATCATAGGCTAGGACCGAAACTTCTGCAGTTTGTCCAGCAAGAAGGGCGATTGCCTTGCAGCTATTCGAAATTAATGATGCAGTTTTGTAGTATGTTTTCTGCATATAGTATTCCATGCTGCAAAAAGTAAACATTTATAAGATGAATATTTTTTTATTTTTTTTTTTAAATTTCTTGAATATAATTTGTAATAGCTTTACTTGCAACGCTGATCAGATGTGGTAGTCATCTGCATGGTTTCTCCAGTAACAAGATGCTCGACAACTTTAGCCAAAAGGGACACAACCTGTGCAAAATACAAAAGCAGTAGTGAGAAACAAAAAAAAAAAATTGTAAAAGAACAAAATACATATTATTTCTAGTGTGCTTCTAAATTCAGTATACAATACAGTTTGGTACCTTAATCAGAAATGCACTTCATACATGAGCAAGAGAGATACGCCGACGGGTTAAACGCATGCTTGGATACAAATATATCCGCATAAAAGTTTTTACGGTTAACTAGAGTTAATTTTGAAAAAGATGGTATGGTTAATTGTTAGTTGCATTTTGAGTTTATATTAAAATATTAATTAAAATTGATTTAATAATTAATATAAAAGTAGGAGAGAGATGATGTAAAGTGATGGTTAGTTAAATTTATGCGAGTGGATGATCAGTGAATTGAAATTGATGTGATGTGTAAGAATGATTGATTGATATTATTTAATTATATTGATAATATTGATGACAGTGGGATTGAGTTAAAGTTGAGTTAGATTTTGAGTATGAATTGTGTATGAATCGATTTTAGCAGAAACAAGTCTCAACAGGTGGTTTCCCTGGCTTGTGTATTTTTTTCTTTTAAAAAAATATGGATCGAATTTATTTATAAACAAACACACCCTAAGAGTACCTCGGTGTTTTTCAAAGAGGCGAGGGCCACACAAGCTCTAGATAGTAGGAAATCTCCGGCCAATACAGCTAACTGCCAAAATCAAATAAAAAAATATATATAAACACAAGAAAGCATTTTCCAATTAAAACAAAACCACATGTTATCTCTAAAATCATCGTGCGGGTGCAAAAGGGAAAATGTGAAGTACCTTATTTCCCATCACAAAGTTCAATGAACCAATTCCTCGTCTAGTATCGGCATCATCCAACACGTCATCATGGAGAAGGCTAGCAACCTATGATAATATGTTAATAGTTACTAACCAAGAAGCAAACAGATATAGGTACTACTTCAAGGACAAAAGAGAAAGCACTAACATGAATCATCTCTGTGATCTCAGC